AGCTGGGTCGTCCAGATCGATGTACCCGGCACCTTCCACCAAACTGTTGCGAGTGACTGTGTTTATTTACAGATGAGGTGAAAAGGCGTTGTGAAATAGCAGCGTACTTCTGAGACAGGCCAAGAACGCTTCCACCCAACCACACAGTCCAGGCGCCGCTCCACTACTCTTCTTCTTCTTTCGCGCCCCGTAGGCTCGCGCATCTTCGTTTCAATAAATATATATATATATATATATATATATATATATACATAAGGAAAATCATCAAAGCTGCAATGTCGGCAAAATTTCACTTGTAACATAGCCTCATAACAATTTCATTCTCCCGTAAGAACATTAATTGAGTAATTACTCTTGTGATGGAAAACTACACCTTACTTGTTCGTTTCCACAGCGTGCTGCCAAGAGTGACCACTATCAAAAGTGGGGGGCTCAGCCCCCGCCCCCCCGGCTGGTACGCCTATGCCTCCAGCCCATCGACATACCGACGAAACTATTCTTCCGTGTTGGCCTTGGCCTGTTGGGCCTGTTTCCTACGTCCACCTTTGGAAATAAATGAGTTGCAGTCGCCACAGATTACGCCACACGCTTTGCCATCACTCGAGCACTGCCAAGAAACTGTTTCACTGATGTCACTGATTTCTTTTGTATGCAGTCATTCTTCATCACAGCATTGCTTACTGATCGAGGGAGGTACTTCCATAAACGTGTTGTGGATGACTTCCTCCGTGCCTGCTCCACTGAGCACAAGCTTACCACCGCTTATCATCCACAGACAAATGGACGCTCACTCACTCAAACTGAATTTTTGGAGACGTGATTGACTTATCTCTGCATCTAACGCAATGAAGAAACTTGGACTAGATAGCCATCGGAATTACATCGTGTGATGCCTGTACTTTGAAATCGGGGATGGTCGGCAGCTTTTCTGAATGATGTAGTGGATAAAGTACTGTGCATTTAACAGCTCAGCTAATACGAGTTCGATGCTACTATGCCTGTAAAATGAAGTATTCGATGAACAAGCGCAACAAACAGAGCAGGCTGCCAAATGGCCGCGCAAACCGCAAAACTACAAGCGCACCCAGCAAAACTGGCAACACGTACAGACTACCACAACGTCCCCACCACACGCACAACAGAAATAAATATCACGAATGTCAAAGAGCACTGAAACATGATGATGAGTCCTTGACGTCGTGGCCTTCATGCAAGCTCAGGCAAATCTCAAAATTCAGCTGTTCTAACCGCGAACACAATCTAACTATTCACGTTCACAAAGCACATTGCAACGACAAACACAATCACAGTGTGTGCCAACGACGTGAACACCGAGCCGACTACAAACACGAAAAAAATACGCCAGATGTGCCTTCATCAAAAGAAAAGCTTCAATAGGTTGCCTGAACCGGCGTTGCAAACTTTGACGAAAAGCCGCAATGTTCCACAGGTCTGCCCAGATCCAAGCCAAGTTGTGTGAAAATAGTGTTTTTCTTATTTTGACCGCGTGAATATAGCATTCTGGCTGTTCTAGAACACCAGGTCGCAGCAGCGGTGGCCCTTAATGTGCCGCTCTAACCAACTACGCCACAGCTGACGATGGCTATGGAATGACTAACAAGCCGATTTTGTATTGTTGTCATGCTGGACCTAACTTTCAATTTTTTGTTGACTTTTACGTTTGGACGTCACTTTAATGGTTTCTATCGTTATGTCTAGACATACTGCTAGACACTCCGACTATTCAAACAAAGCGCCTAACCTGAAAAGCATGACGTCACTTCCGTGCGGCGCAGCTGTCTCTGCTTTTTCATAGAGTTAATATACAGACTCATTAACTCTATGCTGCCTTTTTATAAATACACACTACAAAAACAGTCGAAATGTGACTGAACGTAAATGACAGCATGCCTATATGTAGCCAAAGGAATTTGAGGGTCGTAGTTTAATACATTTTGTGTAATTCATCGACAAATTCAAAAAAAAGCAGCAGAGCAGGTAAGCGTGGCACTCCACCTCTCCATTATTAATGATCTACTGTGCCTTCAAAAAATTTTTTTCAGCAAAACCACATGCGGATCTCTTCTTTCCACTGATCAGGCAATAATATATAAAATTCTGAAAAAAAAATTTAAGAGGTCGACCAGCAATGCTTTGTTCAATCTTATGTGGACTCACCCATTTATATATGTTCCTGCCTGGCCTACGGCAAGTTATTTTTTCACCCACTTTTCTTTTTTCACATTTACATTATAATTCGGTCTAATAGCTGCCCCTATCTTTCTGTGGCATTATTGTCTATTAGATCTCATTAATATTGTGTCAAAACAAAAAAAACTAGCCCTTAATTGTACGCCTCTTTCCATATATATATATATATATATATATGTGTATATATATATATATATATATATATATATACATACATACATATATATACCCACACACACATACCCACATACTTGAGAATTCATCTAGCTTTTCGTTTTATTTGATGCAACAGTGGATGCTAAGAAGAATAAAAGTGGCTGAAGAAATATTTATTACGTAAATATTAGCTTCTCACTACCATAACATTTAATTCAATAAGTGAATACTACAAAATCGGAGCCTAGATGCACTTCAGCAGTTGCAGTATATGTACCGAGGTGTAATTAATTTAAAGGTCGTAACTGAACTTCACTGATTTTTCATGCAAGTAACATCCACCCTTTGGGGTAAATTTAACTCACACAATGCATTCATACTATTTCTCAGCTAATAATTATAACCATTAAAAAATTATTCTTTATCACTTTAAAAAAAAATTATCATCGATACTCGCACAACATCACGCAGGAACATTTTTCTGTGCGGCCCGGGCAGCACTAGATCGCGAAACCCTCGTCTACAATTACAAATACGCATTGTTTTGTTATAGAGGCTTGTTATTAGTGTAGTAGATATGAGTAACGCATGTTTCGCTGACTGCTAGATATGAAAACGACACACCATGTGAGCTATATGGAGAAAAAATAACTCCACGAAAGACATTGTAGTGTCCCTACGACTCGACAATCCTAAAAAGAATGACAACAGCAGCACTGCAGCTGGAGAAAGCACACATTTGAACACTGTGTAAGCATAGTGGAGAATTCTGATTTGTATAATTATGTTGATTCTATGAACTACTGTACTTGAGCATAAATATAATGCACCACATTATATTTATGTCATCAAAATTGTGCACCTTCAATCTTGTTACAGAGAAGCTTTTGCAGCAAGTACATACACATCACATCTTTATATTAAATGCCATGAATGTAGAAAAAATGGCAGAAAATGGTACTCTGGAGCACGAGCGATGTATGTACGCTGTGTGTGTGTGAATCTCTCCTTTGTGTGTGTCCTTGTCGTGGTGCGCTATACCAGTGAAAATGATGAATGTACACAAAGCAAGTAAAACTTCTAGTAGAGTTATAGTGCAGCCCCACGATTACAAATGTTGTAACATAAAGCTTTATGAAGCTGTTTAATGGGGCGGTGCCATCAAAGTTCGAGGCTATAACAAGCCTCCTGTGGGTTTCGTCTATATGCAACGATGCTCCACACAAATGGTCAGACGCAGCAAACATTTCGAATAAATTTATTTCACCTCCCAAGTGTACCTAAATGCTCATTCTGCCAACCGAAGCCCATCGCAAGCGCATCTAGCACAGATGTAGCTCTGTAGGAAGGGCAACGAAAGTTGTAGCGACGTCACACCAGATCTGTAGTGAGCGTAGGTGTGCAAAGGTTTCCGCTTCAAGGGGGACGAAGATTCATCGCATTGCACCCCTCTCCCTATTATGGTAGGGCTGACTTTGCAGCCCCCCCCCCTCTCACGTGACAAGTGTAGCTACCCACTTAACCCCCCCACCTGTGCGCACACCTTTAATAAGGAGGTAAGTGACTTCAGCCGCGTACGTACAAGTTTCAGTATGATGCGCTCGATCGCTGGTCATATCTTCAATAAGTCATACCTTCAATATCTCCGAAAAGTGCATCATATTGAAGATATGATGTGTTTTACCGCTTGTCAGTATCATGGAAAACTGGTGCTCTGTTCACCACTATCAGTGTACAGCGTGTATTGCTGTAGTTTGAGTTTCCATTTCTCGGGCACGGGTTCCTTCAAATAGAGTTTTGCCTTGAACACACCGAGCGTTGCTTCATCAATGTCATAACCACAGGATTAATATTTCATGAAAACGACATGTTAACCAGACGAATAGCAAATTCTTCAGCATTATTTGACATCACTTCATTACCTTATTTAAAATTTTCAAGCATTGAAGCAATGAGATTGATCCTGGAATTTGCTAGTTACAAGCTTTTATAGTGCTAATGCAATGAAAGCAATGCTGCACCATACACAAGTGGTTATGTAGTAAATCGAAAAAGGCCGGCAACTCCGAAACTTATACAGAAAGTCAATTTCCTATAAAAAAAAACGGGTAAGCACATCGGATCATCTTCGAGAAATAGGAGTGGAAATTGGTTGGTAAATTTATGGAGCAATTTTTGTCTTTGTATTATAATAAGAGTGTATGTATTTTAAATACCGGTGACTGTTTGGCAACGTCATGTGTAGGCCGTTTCACCAGCAAGTAAAATATAGTGTGCCAACTGAAAGTCGACACAATGTTACCTCAATAACTTATAGTACTTGTTGGTGACATAAAGTCCTTCCTTCACTAAGTATGGGCTTCCCCAGATGGCGCTGACTACCTTCACAGGAACGAAGAGGTACAAATACTGTTTCAACCTCCTTGCACAGCTGTTCCATTATAGCTGCCATGCCAGCCTGGAAATTGTTATTTTGGTGTTTTGGAGCAAAACACCAAGACAAAGCCTAGGTGGAATATGGCTAAATAAACAGTGCAAGGCACACAACCTGCTGGAAGAGCATTCATTACAAAGCCAAAGTTTTCGATTGTCAGTGGTGCAAAAAAAAAAACTGCAGAAACTCAGGACAAACGTACATCACAAAATACAATTTATTCAGCTCTAGGAAGGAACCATAACAGAGATGCGTAGAAGGGAAATGTCGTAGACATTTTGAAATAAGTAAAATAAAATAGATTTTGATTACATGTATACTACAGTTAAATGCCAACACCATAATGTGTTCATGCACATTCGATGTTATCACTTGACTAAGCTCCTTATTAAAAAGACAAGCTTGCGAAAAATTGGGCAAAAATAAAGCCATGGTCCATAATGCAGAGCGACAATGGACACACATGCTATGATTTGGTGAAATAAGCTCACAATGCTTTCGTTAAACACTGTAACAAAGAATAGTTCTTGCATGCACAATGGAAAAACTGATGTAAAAGAGAAGTTTTTAAAGACCCAGTGAGAAACCATCACGAATGTGACACACCAGTCATGAGGCAGTTACAGCGCCACAGTTAATGCAAGATTAATAGTTGCTTGACATTTTAGGCAATGAGAAATGTGGCCAAATGTGGCTAAGACTGCATATAAGAGCAGTGTAAAGCAGTTGATTATCAGGAGCAGACAACAAAAAGCACTCAACTCACAAAGAGCACCAATTAAAAAAAAACTTCAAGGCAATAACAACTGCTTGTTATTGCACCACCATAGAAAATTTAAACTACTACAAATTGCGAAGTGTTGTAGGCTTAAGTGAAACTGCAGTTTACAATAAACTGCGGTGTACTAGAAAAACTCTGTGCAAAGAGAGGCGGAGGGTATTGCCTTGCTCCGTGAGTCACTGTGAGTGGCACCCGAAGTGGTGGCGCTGTCGTTGACCACTCTTAAATGCTACAGGCTTAAGCGCACACAATAATTTAGCTTTTCAGAGAAGCGTTAGATGGCTTAGCGTTCCGAGTGTTTGTGTTTCAGGTGTTTTATGTAAACGTGATGACTTTCATCAATGACTGCAAAGCCGTCTTAATTACTGCTACATTCCAGGGTGCAGAACAGCTGATAGGCACAAAGAACTCTGAACGGCAATCCACGCGAGAAAGAAGTGTACAGAGAGCTGACAAGCCACTAACCAGAGATAGCAATGCACTTGAGTTGCACTTTATGTGAGGTCACTGTAGAAAAAGCTGTGTTCTTCACAACAAGCAGCATCAGTGCTTTGCACTCGAAGATATTCATGCTAGGTAAGCAGGTGGCTGGCACATCATTGCCAACGTTTCACGTTGCAGCGCTATAACCACTCTGTAAGAAGCGCGTGACATGCGTATCTGTAAAAGCGCAGATAATGAAAAAATGGTCTCACAAACAACGTAACATCGCAAGGCCAAATTGAGTGTGAGGTAAGAGCAGTTTACACATTCAACTGCACCAAGAAGAAACCCCTTTAGAATCCCAAAACAAGCATGATGTTTTATCTGTGTGAGTGTTTCACGTTTCTAATGTGTTTTTTTTTTTTTCTTTGCACAGTTGAGAAGTGTCTACTGAATCTAAGAACCAATGAGCCCAATAACATGCCATACTTGAGCACAATTTATAGCACCAACTTCCAAAGCAAGATTCCAAAAGAAGGAACGACCTCTGTGCAAATGAAAAGTGCCTGCAATAAATTTGTTTTAGAGACTGAAATCTCCAAGTAATTTTTCTTTGCACACCAAATGTTTTTTTATCTGCTTTCATGTGTAAACAATTGATCAGCTTTCATAGCCTGATTTTTTTTGCATATGCACCCTAAGAGTGACACTGCCAACAATGTGTTTTTCATAATTGCAAACATCGGGCAAACTTTCCGTTTTACAATAACCATTGTTTAGCAAATTTTATTGCTCACTAAACTGCCCCATTCCCTGAATGACCCACCAGGCGAAAGCAATTGCAGTGCATCGAATATCCTTCATATACTACCTGCTTTGCTTGCTGCGAGAGGCCCAAAATCATACAACCAGCTCTGACACTCCAATGCACTTCTACTATACACAAAAAGTAAACTGAGCCTGAATTACATTAACACATAAGCATGTAATCCAACATGCTTTACAATCTCGCGTACCACGTCCGCTTCTTAGGCGCATCAGAATGAGCTTTGAAGAGTGGTCAATGGCAGCACCACTGCTGCAGCTGCCCCCATGCGCAACATACAGAGAGGCACACTTATGCCACTGGAAAGCATTCTAGCACAGTGTAACACTGTGGCATAGTTAGGAATAATAAAAAGAGCATCTTACAAGAAAACACCTGCACTTGCACAGGATGTGATCTTTGGCAATCTAGTCTCTGCAGTAAAAACTTTTCATGTGTTTTTGAGTATAGCATTTCAACCAATCAAGAGCCCAAAAGACTAATTCTCCCAATAAAGCTACTACACCCTTTGAAGAGCTAGTCAGATGCAACACCGAAGAACATGTAAAATGTACACTGACGGAGTTGGACTAGGTCTGAGAATCTCTTATTCTTTATGGAGCTCTCGAATTATCAGTCAACACAACATTAAATCTAACAAAATAACACTTTCTCTTTTACCACAGCAACTTTTCCTATGACTATCTTGATTGTAGCATATAAATGAACAATCCACAATTGCTATTGTCCTCAACGAGCAGCAGTATTCAGTGTGAAATTCAAGAATCGAAACCTGAAACCCAACTGCATAAAAAGCATTTAAATGTTCTAGCATGCTATCAAAGAATACTGATACACTACATATTGCACACAATATTAAAATTTCACACTTTATAATTACAAAACTGTAAATGATGACATGCTAGGGCGTATTCCGCTTGCTGAAGTGACATCCTTAATACATCACCACCTGTGGAGCATAGCAACTGTTCATGAGAGTTGGGAATATGTTCCAAGTAAAAGCAGTTTTTATGACAGACCAAATACTTGAGTCGCAAGTTTTACTTTTTGACCTTTCCTTTGGCATAAATACTAGACGCTTCTGTGCAGCAAGTTACGATACACTTGATAGAGCCAGAAACATGGAAGTTATCTCTTGTTCATTATTTGCTCGAATAGTGGAGCAGCATTCCCACACTAAATGAGAGAGCCGTAAAAAACTGTTGACTTCGAACATTCGTTATTCTAGGAAACAAGTTTTGTGTCTGCTGCTGCGTGTGTGCGCACTATGAAATGAAAGCACGAATACAACTTGTCAAGGAGCTCACAAAAATTAAGACCAGGTTTAAGAAAAATGGCCTACAGCCAAGTTGATAAGGCAGAGCAAATTACCGTATTTACTCGAATGTAATGCGAGTTTTTTTCAAATTTCTCTAAAGTGATTAGGGGGTCCGCATTATAATCGAAGCACCTCAAATCGTGCCTTGGCGGTGCTGCCCCACTGGTTTCTTAAAATGGCTATGACAAACCTAGCGATCTTTCAACCTTGTGCTGGCAACATATGCACAGTGGCAAAATCGAATTGAATCCAATCTAATCCTATTGTTTGCGACGCGCACATGGAGACGTGTTTTGCAGGCGGTTCATTTCCTTTGTGCTTGCGCGACTTCGGCTCGAGCAAATGGCAGCGCGACGAGTTCAGTACGAAGCCCACTTTAAGAGAAGTGCAATACTGATGGCTGAGGAAATCGGGAACTCAGCCACGGCACGACGGCTAGATGTGGCGGAATCTACTATCCGTGGGTAAAGGCTCCAGCGTGAAGCGCTCTTCATGGGCGAGCCCGGCCGAAAAGACTTCCGTGGACCTCCTTGTGGCCGTCACACACAACTCGAAAAAAGAGTGGCGGAGTTTGTGATTGAGCCCCGAAATCGCCTATTGGAGCTGCTTCAGTAAAAAGCCCGAGTCGTAGGGAATCTCGCGGGAGAACTTTAAAGCTTCACGTGAGTTGGCACAAACGTTCATGCGAAGATTTTCCCTCCGGCGAACAACGTCGATAAGGCAGAAGCTACCAGCAGATTGCGAAGCGAAGGTAGTGGAGTTTCAGTGCTATATGCTCAACCTGCGCCGCTTGTCGCAAATGCCGTTGGGGCACATTGGCAATGCAAACCAGACTCCCGGTTTCTTGGACATGCCTATGTCAAGGACTGTCAGCGAAACAGGTACGCAAAGGACAATAGGCAACGAGAAGACGCAGCTAATCGTGATGCTAGCCTGCTTGGCGCAAGTTGCCGCCATACATCATTTTCCGGTGCAAAACCATCCCAAAGGAGCTGTTCCCTAGGGATGTGATTGTCCGCGTCGCGCGCGGAACAGCACAAGCAACATCTGCAGCCGCAAAGACGCCACATCTGAGCATGCGCGGTGCCAATGATGTGCCTGCCCTGAAGTTTCCACCCTTCTTTATTTCTGTGGCCCCGATGGCTGCTTTGGCTGTCGAAGCGCTCTCAACATCACAAGATTGAAATAAAGCAACAACAAAAAAGAAATATTCTCGCTTCATGATATCATATCACAGCGAAAACAGTTTTACTTCGTCTTTCTTGTTTTTTGTTTTTTCGCGAATTGCTCAGAGTGCTTTCGACGGCCAAAGTGGTTGTTGCATCCGCGGCGATAAACAGGGATTAGTATTGCGAGGCAGGCACATCACTGTTGCCGTGCATGCTCAGATGTGGCGTCTTTGCGACTGCAGATGTCACCCGTGCTGTTTCGCGCACAACGCTCTGTCGTTATAGACAGCCGAGTTGAGCACTGTACACTCTGCTTATGCTTGACTGGGTCAAGATTGTCTGGTGCCGGCGACCAGGTGCGCTCCTCCACCCCGCCTCCATCCTAGTTCTCGGCTCATTTCGCAGTCACCTGACGCCTCAAGTGAAGAAGCTGATGCGGGAGACTCGGACGCAGTTCGCCGTTATTCCCGGAGGTATGACGTCCCTGCTGCAGCCATTAGATGTCTGCCTGAACAAATCCTTTAAGGATAAAATGCAGCAGCTGTACGAAGAATGGATGTGAGAAGATCAGGCTTTGACACCTACGGGTAGGATAAAGCGACCTAGCACCGCAAAGATTGCCGAGTGGGTGTCCGCAGCTTGGTACAGCCTGCTGCACGACATGATAGTTCGCGCGTTTAAAAAGTGCTGCATATTGAACCATATAGATGGCACAAAGGATGACCTCATCTGTGAGAAAGAAAGTGACAAAGAGGGCTCAACCATCGACGATGAAAGCGACGAATGAACAAAACTCACTTCATATTTAGAAACTGGGATGCCTTTGCCACTACCATGTGCAGCAAATAAAGCTACTTTTTTGCCCCCACTTTACTCGCGTTAAATTCATGTTGTTGTTTTTTCGGCACTTAAAAGTCACCCCTCGCGTTATAATCGTAGTCGCGTTACATTTGAGTAAATACGGTGCTACTCGTACATTTTTACAAGACCAGAGGAGAGTCATTTGGCACTGTACACATTAAGCAAAGAAGCATGCACAATGACTGCAATCCTGTATAGACAAGGAAGTGTGACAAGGCGCTAGCTTATTCACTGCCAACATGGGCAGCACCAAGGCCAAATATTTTACACAAGGCAAGTCAAACTGAAAAGAAAATTGGTGCCCTCATCCAAAGACCAAGACTCATGCTACAAAACAAAAAATGCATGTTGCAATGCAGCAGGGACAAAGCACTGATTTAATGCTTTGTTTCTATTAGTCTGCATTTCTTTGGCTGAAGGAACACTGCTCTGATACAACTGTGGATTACCAACATGCCAAATCGTACTCTCTCACAGGGTCTCAAAGAGTTACTGCATCTCCTCAGCAGTTCTTACCTTTTCATACTTCTTTTTTTCAAGGTTAGTATAGCCATCAGTTGAAACTATAAGCACCAAAATGCTACAAATTAGGCAAGCAGTGGCCTACGGTAATGTACCAAGCCTGCAAAATCTGAACTTCTCGCTCTGAGGAAACACTAATGCAACCGAATGTAGTACCTGAGGTGCACTTTCTTTACAAATACAGCTTTCATCTCCTTAAAAAAAGTGCACTTGTGAGCTAAATGAATAGCAGCATTTTGAAGATGGAAAAGTCAACTAGGTGGTGTCTGTACTTGCCCAAGCATGATTACAGCAGCACCACTCTTGGCAGTCGCTTTCCACAGGCCTGTAGTACCCAAAGCATGCAGTTCAGTTCAGCAAGCACATCCTAGTGCAACTGCAGTTAGCAGTCTAGAAGCCAGTATTGATAAATCTGTTGTTTTTTCTAGCCACTCAAAACAGTCGAGTTTCTTGTTGCTCCCCTAAGCTGCTGAGCATGCCACAGGACCTATCCACATGTTACGTGCATTGCAGGGTGGTTTCTAAACGGACAGAAGCGTGTGAGAATGCAGCTAAAGCAGCAGAAAGATTCTTTAGATACGATGAGTCTTACGAGCGACTCATCAGAATACAAGTCACAGAAAGCAACGTCTTTCTGAGATATTGAATTTGAAATTTCAGGGTAACTGCATTCTTCACCTAACTAAATATTGGCACAAAATTTAATGCTTTTCTTTCATTCTACAATATCTCGTTGCTGGCCCAGTAATGAGCAGAAGGTCTAAATTCAAGCATGTAATAAATATGCTGTATGAATTTGCAAGTTCAATATGCCCACAGCATGCAACAAGGTGTCTGGCTGGTACTGAAAATTGGCAAAGTTAAAGGTAGAAATGATATGCCATCATAAATCACTAATGTGCCCCTCAGCTTGTTGAATGTCGACGACACCTTGACCACAACTGACATGGAACAAGAGGACCCACTGAAGTAGGACAGAAGGCTGTGATCTGGATGGCGAATTTTTTAAGGACGATACAAAGTGTTGGGGCAGAAGTGAGTATGGTATAGAAAATAGCAGCATTATTTTTGACAGCATTGTGAAAACCACTGAACTATGCTTATTGGTAAATAATTACATTTCATGATGTAAGACCACTAAATTGTGCTGACTGCTACATGTAACTGCATCGTAATGCAACACCGCCAAACTAGGCTGACTGGCACATCTCAGTGCTTTATGATACCATGTTCTTGCCAAGATGTTACCTGCAACTTCAAGCCACACCTTTAGAAATGGCTGGCTTTAATAAAGAATGACAAAAGAATTTTCCGCACACTGCAGACTTTGAACAATGGGTTGATAACAGTCAACTAAAAAAATGTAGACAAAAAGCAGACATCAGTTCACCTTGATTCAATATATAGATAGCAGATTGGAGTTGATGCATTTTGTTCAAATTTTATTCGAAGAATTTCGCTTGAAGAACTACTACATCTCCTCGAAATTTTTCACCCTTTCAGTACCAGAGCAACACCGACAGTGCGAGTCGACTGAACTGCAATATTTCATACAAGGAAAGAGGAGTGTGAACCTTGAGAAGCAGAAAATCGTGGGAAAGTCGATTTTCCAAAACCACATATTCAGCTTGACATATGGCAATCCCAACGGATGTTGCTCACCACATTACAGTAGCTTCTTCAGCTGCACTAATGCCCTTTCCTATGAACATCCGAACACATAGCCAAACTTCGAATCTCCCAATTCGAGGCACTGCATTCATTCTGCCACGACAACAGACATGGCAGTACCAGGCGAAAAATTTAATTTTACAGAGTAGCGTCAGTTGAAGAGGTACCAAACCAAAGCATCGACTCATAGACCATGCTCTATTTTTGCACTGAGAACATTCAGAGTGTCAGCTTTTCCAGACACATTTCTCCAAAACTGATTTTCTGGTCACAATTAACCTCCAGAGTACAAACATCCTAGTAGTATACATATGTACATACTAACAGGCACAAGGTACATGTACCTTGTGCGCCTTAGGATATGCACGAACAGGGTCATCCCTGATGATGACACTTGTAAGGTGCTCACAAAATGCGAGTCAACTTGCAAATATGTGTAGTAAGATAAACGTGCATGGGGTATTTGTTCAGCAAGATGTCGAGGGTACCGGTGTGTGGATGGCTTTTCGTTCAGGCTGAGATGAATAGCTTCCTGCAGAACATGAGCCACGCAAAAACCACCCACAGTGCAGTGCCCCAGAGGTTCATGAAGAGGTAGCACCAGTGAGACTCTGGGCACTGCCATGCCCATGGGAACACACCATGCAAGATCTCGTGTCCCACATACACGGCCAAGGAGTTCATGCCTGCATAGAGTATATGTCTAGCTTCCAACTTGCACCATTCATCAATGGCATCACTGACAGTAAGTGCTAACTAGCTCGATTTCCCATACTATCATGAAATAGCGGTAGTAGCAGTTCCAACAACAACTGAATTCATAACCAAGCATACACAACCGACTTAACTATAAAAAGAAGCCCCATATACACATACCGCTACTGTTTCCTTTTAACAATTTTCTTGTTGCACTTTGAATTGCGAGACGAGGATGCGACAGGGACTGCATATTAAGTAGTTTGCGAACTCACAGCTGGTTTATTCACATCTTGCAAAGTGTCAAATATAAGTTAACAATCAGATAGGATGAATAAGGTGAAGGGCGGAACTCGGTGAAAAAACTAGAAGAAAAAGATAATGCAAGGATTAACATATGCAGAGACAAATGTCTGGCCCACCAGTGTATGTTAGAGCAGCGTAAATAGCAAAATTTCTGGCAAGAAGCAAATTCAAATATTCGAGTGTGAGTGCAAATAAAATAGAATATTTCTTGACAATTTCTAAGATTTTTATCTCATAGTTCCAAGTGAAATTGCGGGAAAGAAAAGTTGGAGGGGATTCCTCAGCATATTTTTAAGAGATACAGCAACATGAAAGCGTTTCTTTTCACTAGGTTGACGAAGCACAGGCAGGACAGTATATCATAGTTGTCTTATTAAGAATGAGGCGATGCAGAGGCTGAATTGTGTTAGTACATGATTTGGTGCAACTAAACTGTTCCCAACAACACTTCACAGATGAAAGGCAAAGATTATATTTCTTCAGCCTTTCCTCCTCTTTCAACTTCTGCGGAAGCCCAACTGATGTGACAGACAAGTTGTTCGAGTTAGGAGTGCTAAATCTGCCTCTCAGACATCAACATACAAGAGCATTCCCAATCGTTGATGCTAAAAATCTCAGGCATCCAATTTTTCTGACTTTCTGCCAAAATATCAGTCCCAAAACAGCTTTAATTGAGCTCCCACCTCTGCCACATCGATCATCTCCATGTTGGAACCAGTGTATCTTTTAATCAATAAACTAGCGACCATAGCAAAGCCTGAAAGATAGCTTTGCCTTCGTACGGCAGTGTAATAAGGTGAAGCATTTAAAAAAAAATCTGAACTGATTACAGTGTTTTTGCAACATTTGACGGTAACGGAGCCTCAAAGGCCGCTTTGCCATATTATAAGAATGTGATGAGGTGAAGCATATTAAAAAAAAAAAAGAGATGAATGGGATACTCAGTTTGACGTTGACTGCATATCTTCTTGGTAAGTTTGAACAGTTGAAATTTCAGTGTGAATCGAATCGAATAGCAAACACTATTAAAAAATATTTGAAATTTTGAATATTTATACACCCCTACCATATGCCACTTTCAAGAAACTTAATTTCTGTCTGCATTAAATGAAACGAGGGTGCTCTTTTGCAGCTATGATAAAAAAGGGCTTCTCTTAATGCTAGCAACATGGTGTCCCTGAATGTTTGCATGCATGAACATCGTTTACAATGTGTCACAAAGTGACCTGCTCCTTGTAGTTGTTTGTATCTGCGTTCTGCGAGACGTTCATTACAGTCGATTCCAGATACATCAAACTCGGATATATCGAATTCTTGATTACATCAAACAGTTGAAAAATCTGCAAGATGTTTCAGCGCGCGAACAAAGGAAAAAAGGACAGGGTAGACAGAAAGAGCACTGTTTTTCCTTTGTTCGAGCGCTGAAACATCTTGCAAATATGACTACGCACCAACTAGCCCAAGCTTCAACTCTTGTGAGTTGAAAAATCCCCTTGAATTTATCATGCAATAGTACGGGATTGGTGCGTCCGTATATCAAACTCCCGCACAGCGGGACATGCGCTATATCAAACGGGGTGCCACACCGAAGCCTAGAAAGTACATTCTTACTAGCTAATAATAATCAATATTTGATTACGTTCTAACGAGTTCTGATGCCCTTGCGTGCGCATGTCATGAAAATGCGGTATTATTCCATCACGCTGATCTGGTTCATTGCGCGACGCTTGCGAGTGCACCGATTGCAGAGGACACCAAAATGGGAATGTGAAGTGACTAGGTGATCTTGTTGCAATGTTCACATTCCCTTCCTTGTAGCGCAAAATGGCACACAAGCCTGAAAAGTATGGTCTTCGACATGTGCAACCTGGTGACGTATTTTTGGTGTTTTCGGTATTTATTAAAACGCGCGTCTCGGAGGCTATGCTCTTTCTAGATTTTCCCAGCAAAGCATCTGAAAGTAGCGACTGCCAGCTACAAAGGCACAAGTGACATCAATATCGCAACGTGTCGACTGTGGAAACTCGACGTTGTCTTATGCGCTTTCTCGCCGCGTTCCTGATAAATCCTCATTCTGGAGTTGAAGTGATTGTTCACCTGCATGTAACGATAAAAATTATCACTGATTCTTGGAGTGACGTCAAGTAAACCACCGTCGTAAACTTTCCTTGCGGGCCAGGTGACAAGTTCGTGTGCGTCATGACCGCTGGCGTACGGTGCCTTGGTGAATTCTGCAACTTATTAGCGTTTCTGGCACCATCTAGGACAGTGAGCAGCTACATCGGTACAGATGATGACATAGCTGTTTCTGACTGCATTATTGCCGAGATCATGGCTGCTGTTGCCAGTGCTGCGGAAGTGTACCCATGAGGTTATGAATATGCCATCGCAGCCGCTGCTAATCAACCTTCTACCGCGCTACAAAGCTTGCATCGGTGATCTGAATCATGTAGCAGTCAACGCTGTTGAGGCTGAAGAAGCAAAATTCACTATTTGAAAAGCTTCAATAATATTGAGAATGACTGAAACTTCCCGGCGTGCAAGAAGTGAGAAATGTTTACGGACTATTTTCACGTGAAATGAAGTGCTGTAGCTTGCAGTTCACACCTTGTTCTTCATTATACTGTGAGCAAAGTGTTATGTTAGCGCATGTAACGATTTTGAAGTCCTGAAATGCTACAGTTTAGATCATAAATATGCATATTTTGTATTTTGAATTATCGATATATCGAACTATTTCGCGATCCCCTTTGAGTTCGATATATCCGGGATTGACTGTGAGCAAAGTGTTATGTTAGCGCTTGTAACGATTTTGAAGTCCTGAAATGCTACAGTTTAGATCATAAATATGCATATTTTGTATTTTGAATTATCGATATATCGAACTATTCCGCGATCCCCTTTGAGTTCGATATATCCGGGATTGACTGTAGTACGCATCCGGCCTGCCTTATGTATATTTTTATGCAGGTTAGAGGAATACTGTATACAAACTTATTGGTACATTGTACAACAGGATCTCAGTGGTCGTTCACTGCTTTGCAGAGCCTCTTAAGCTTATGAGGCGCTGAAAACAAAACACTGACACCATATCCTTGCTCTATTTTCCCCATACGGTGTGAAATGCCATGCAAGTACAGAATAACTGCCACTTCGTTGAAGTGAACGTTTACATTGTTTGGCGACAGATGGGTTTCTTGGTTTCTTTAAATGGGGAACGTGGCCATCGGAACCGTAACTTGGCCAAAATTATCGATATTGAATTTCTTTTTTTCACGATCCCTGGACCTTCTTTTACCTCGTGTTGAAATATTATTGAAGTGAACATTTACAGTTTTTGGTGACGTGTGGGTTTTTAATTACTTTAAATGGGGGAAGCAACAATTGTAATGATAACTTAGTCAAAACTATCGATTTTTGGATTTGTTTTTTTTTTGCGATCCTCAGACCTTCTTTTATCTCGAGTCAAATTATTATAATGAACTACGCAGTAGTAATCGAGAAAACAGCCCTTTATCAGTGTGTTGTCATTGAAAACCCCCGACAAAAATCAGTCTAGGAGGTGCCGCAGCGCTGCGAATTCTTCGGCTCTTGCTCGACCTTTGCGCCACCTTTGTATCATTGTGAATAGGACAGATCGGGGCTAAAGACTGCCACAGCGCCGTTCTCCAACCAAAAATAAGACCAGGAAAAGCAAGCAATAAAGAGCAAAAGTGTCATCGCGATTGGTTGCAATAGCCACGTGGCAGCTCATAGCGCGCTCTTATTGGTTGTCTTAGTTTTGAATGCATTTGGGGCGCATTTGTGCAGGAGGGAGCCCCTCCACTTCCCGCTCCTGGCTGCTACACGATAGGTGTTCTCAGGCCGCGCGATTTGTTCATTCCTGTGTTAGTCACCACAGCAACATGTGCGTTCTGCGATGAGCCCCAAAGAAGAGAAGTACCGAGCGGTCCTCACGTACAGAAAACGGCGAACATCATGAAATAAAATAAAAAAAACTGGACACAGAAGCCAACGCCGCTGACCTCGTGGGAGATCTCGCTGACGATGTGGGAGACAGGGACATATCGCTGGTGCGTGACTGCGATAGCACGTCCATATGAGCGATTACGACTCGACCGTGGGCCGTGTTGACAGCGTGTGCCGCATTGATGATTGGACCAGCGCTTGCGACGCGCTCACGTATAATGTCAATGACTCCATGTGCAGTGTTGAGTGTACGTGCGGTGTTGAGTCCGCATGCAGTGTTGAAGGGTCTCTGTGTCGAGTTTACGGGTCCGCGTGTGGTGTTGACGCGTCCACTAGCAGCAGTGACCGTGCTTCTGCGAGCAACGGCAATGTGGCATCGGTAACCGAGATGTTCAGGCGTTGAGTATTGAGCATCGGATCTGGCTCTAACTCTCACTAATGAAGAGATTGCGAGACGAGAGGAAGCGCGAGCGGAGGCTTTGAATGCATTGTCTGCTACCCCAGTCACGAAAAGGAAATTCAAACTTCTAAATGAGGATGAAAGTGACATTGATATTGCTGCCGAGGCACCAATATACTTTGCGACGGTGATAGTCACACCTATACTGCCCTCAGCGAGGACAAGATGTATGGCTTCATACCCATACAACAGCTAGAATGTGTAAACCATGTAGAAAAAATAATGTGCACGGCATTAAGAAACCTAGTTGAAAAAAGCTAAAGCAAGGACCGAGAGCTCAGCATGAGTAGAAAAGGCCACCACACACATAGCTTAAATAAAAAGCTGACTAACAATATATTACGAATGGCCCACAAAAAGTAATCCCAATGATGTGCCTGCCATGAATAAGGCCATCATGATGACTTTTGATAATATGATGTGATATAGAACATTGCTGTAACTAAAACAATGGTCTAGGATGCATAAAGATTGCTAAGGTTGAATGGCCAAATCCTGAAGTTACATTTTCACAAAATTTATTTTAAAAAGCATTTTAACAAGATCCTACCATAAGAACAAAACAAAATGAAGGACATTTATTGAGGGTAAATGAGTGCACATGCATGCACAAGTTTGGAGCACAGGCTGCGATGCAGAGAAAATGACATTTGCACAGGCCTTGTTTCAAACTCTTTTTAATATTATGCAGATTAGTTAGTTCATAACAAATATGCCCACTTTCATTTATATTATGTGATATATACAATTCAAATTACATTTGAAATTATTTGACCGAAATCACAATTCCCTTTGAACTTAAAATTCACTGTTTGCACAAGCCTAGTAAAAAACAAAAGCGGAGAAATACTGACCTGGGTAGATAAGTGGTGCACCCGACCACCATCCACAAACATCCACCAGGTAGTACAAAACAGCAAGAAGAAAGAAGGCTGTGCTGGCTGTAGACAGAACGAAGGACACCGACCTAGAGCAAACAACGACGCTTTGAAAAAAACCACACCTCGGCGACAAGTGAATGTCTGGAAAAGTATGCATTCGTAGCCTACTGGCAGGATTAGAAGGCAAATAGCTCATTATATAACAATTTTTTGCAGAATTTTACCACTTTGTAATAGATCCATTTGAAAGTATAGTGATGGCACCACACTGACTGAAATAGACTGAAATGATCACATTATAGGCGCATGTGCGTAAGTGACTTGCCTTTCTGACCGCTCGCAAAAATGAGGACTACTTCTTTTGGTAGTAAATACATTATCCTTCCACTCAGTCATTCAGTCAAGTGATCATTACCAACTCTGAATATTTTGTGAGTGATTGTATTCCCTTTCAGTCTACGCCCCTAGCAAAGAGAAACATTGCAATTCAAAGAAAGCTTGATTAAAAAAGCTATACTAACCACAAGTTTTTGTTAATGGGTATCCAACCCTCTTCTTTTGAGAAATTGGTCAGGACACCAGCAATAACACCCTGAAAAACAAAATAAAACAATCACCAAGTGAAAAAATACTGCATTCTAAAGCTGATACAAACCGTTAGCCACAACTGTCAAAATAATGCACTTGCACATTGCGATCACGAGTACATATAGCGTAAGAACCTTTAATTTTGAAATGAATAAACATGGCACACGAAAGAACAGAGTGCCGGGCAAGTTCATATTCCGTTGTGAACAGAATTTAAAAAAAAATGGTGACACGGAAGAAAAAACTATGAGACAAGTGCATTGTGTGCACTTGCCTTCAGGTTTCTTCCTATGTGCCCCCTCTCCCCCCTTTTTTTTTTCGCAAATGCCCCTCACAATGACACATAACACATACAGTCACACTAAATATAAGAGGTGACATACTGTCGGGGCTCAAAATGGCATGAACATTGCAAATTGGCACTTACAATAAAAAAAAAAAGTGGTGAATTAAACTCTCTCAGTGAGCGGCGATTTCCGAACCAATTTAACGTTTGTTCATTTTATTGTTCTGGCTTGGGGTCACTTTGACCACAGTGAGAGGGTTGCAACTCATATAGAACATGTGTACATATTACAATTACATTTTATTTAGTACTTGCATAATGACCACTTTATTTTTTTTTTACGTCCTTAAATTTTTGACAGAAAGTTGAGCTTAGCAAATCAGTAGTGGCGCATATTGACCGGCTATTGAGTTAACCAAAATGACTTAGCATACACTTTATAGCTGGAGGACTGCCACCCAATAATTCATTGTGCAGTAGAACCTTGGTGATTTCAACCCGGCTGATACAAATTCATGAACTTGCACAGACGAATTTCACTGTGCCCACTGGGTCGAAGTAAAAATCTTTCAAACTCGTATCCATGTCACGATGGATAATTAAGTTACCAGCAGTCACATAGTTTATGCGACGGCCCGACTTTATTCCGAGTCCCACGCCGTTCCTGTCGGGACAGCTATACGTCCCAGATTTTTTATAGATCGCACGGTTAGAAATTTTCATGTAATCGAAGATCCACTCGACATTGTACGTCAAGCTATTAAAGACGAGGTTTGAACAAACAATGCACTTGAAGCTAGCAATGCCACAAGGGGCTTTAGCCACTTTTGCTAAACTTCTGCATAAAGCACAGCTTTTACGAGAACATTTTCCAGCACGAGGACAGCACATAGCCAGTTGAAGTACCATTTGAAGAGATCGCAACAATAAAAGAAACAACAGATCTGGAATATACAAAAAATTATTTCACTGGCTCCCTGTATTAATGTCACGAACAAGCACATCGAAGGTTCACCTATGGCCAACTGAAAGCTAAGCGTCCGCACCACCGTAGTCATAGGCAAAGAACTCCAGGAATGGTTCATGCTTGTTTAACGTTTTTATTGCCTTTGATCTACCAATGCATCAGCCGTGTACTTTTGAAGCCACGTTGCCGCTACTGATTATCATGTTGCTAGTGTCCGCAGTTCTGTGGGCGGTGGGTGCCGTAAACGGTGGTTCTAATTTCAATGTGAGTGCTATGGCAGAGCACGTGTCTTCAGAACTAAATTGTTGGTGTCAATAATCATGTCTTCCATGATTTCTTTCACAGGGGTTGCGGCAAGCAGCACTGCTTTGACTCGGTGACCATTGGACTCGCGTGTACTTTCGGAGTTTCGTTGGCACCACACATGACCACGGTTTCGTCCACGGTGGTTGTGGTGAACAATAAGCACAGTTCTGACACTGCGTGCACCAGCCATGTGCGTTCTTTATGTGCTTCTAGAGCACACTGTTGTTAGCTGTTGCTCGAGAGTTTCGGAACCAAAGTTCATATCACCTGTCATGATGCAGACAAGTGTTAGGAACACCCAAATCTCGGTTCACTGGACACTATGGCATTTGGCCGGAAAATAGCACCAGTTCATATCTCACCAAAATTTATACCAGCTGGGTTTCTTTCAGTGAGATTCTACTCTATTGCAATCTGAAGGTGGCAAAAACAATTGACCGCCAAAACATTAGATAAGTATCATTTTCAGATAACAAACATAGATCTGGAAGGTCCGTCATGTGGCCAATCCACATTTAACCAGGCCATTCTGCCTGAAACATGGTTGCTCTCCATGGCGTTCGGGTCAGCTCGGAACACCAGTTCACTACGTATCGCACAAGAACAGCCCGACAACTTTGACACAACAGCAGGGTTCAGAGGCTGCTAGAATAAGGGCTATGCTGGGATGCACTGGAAATGATGCAGCATCTAAGAAATTGCAGCACCCGGAAGCTAATAGTGGGCGTCCAGGGTACAACAAGATGTGTTACTTACGCAAAGGAGGCCCCAGATACACCAGCGAACAACTCTAGCTTTCCATTCAGAGAATGTGAGCAAGATTTTGCCAGCCTGCAGCAAGAAACCAAGGAGGGAATGGTGAAGCGATTCAAGCTCAATGAATTCAAACCAACTAGCCCAAATCGCCATTCTTCTTCAATGCAAAAATTTATGGAAACAGCAGCTTAGAAATTCAGCAAAAGAAACTTAGGATAGCTGCATAGCAACAGTCAAACAGCACGTAATAAACAAAGACATTTCATTAGGCCCATTGTCAGATTGCTAAAATTTCCTGCCTATAGCACACCTCAAGAGACCCGGAAAACACCCCTGCAGACATTTGTGAAAAATCTATAAAAAACAAGCAGCCTAGAATGCTTGCCCACTACGGTTCAGAAATCTGTGTCAGAGTTGCCACTGACTTTCGAGTGAAATTAGCAAACGACGAGCAGAAAGTCACCAAAAATCGCTGTTTTTCTTCAGATTTGGACAAAAAAAGTCCGCAATCTACACATCAATCAATCAGCTTTTATTTCTCCTTTAGAAATATGGGGGTAGCAGAAAAAAAGCCGCAGTACTGCGGCTTGACTAAGCTCCGGCCCCCTACAAAGTCCAGCAGCAAATAGTCAAGTAGGAAAAAAAAAACTTTGCTCGAAATACAACATTTGAATTCAGTTCACTAATATAGGTAGTGGCAACATATAGTAAAAACTAGGTTAAACAAAATATTTGATTCTTTAGGAAACATCATACGTAATGAGACACAGTCATGCCATTCAGAAGAATAAAGGGAGGTAAAAGGGGAAAAAAAGGCACAATCGCAATTGAAAATATTGTAATCTGTACAACACAAGTTTAGAATTTAGGCCAACAGAGTACTATGAAGGCAAAGAAAACGTCATGCGTTGAACAGATACGCATACGCATCTGATTATCACAACGAGATGCTAGTGGAAAAACTAACTTTTATCGCACGATAAAAATGAGCGAAGGGTGCGTATTGAAGCCGTCTGAGTAGATGTACCAAATTTACAGTAACTATTTAGAAGTGCAGCTAGTTGGAATGATACCGAATTATTGCCATGGTTTGACATACAGTGGACTCCTCTTAAACGGAACTCGAAGGGGCAAGAAAATTTGTTCCATTTATGAAAAGTTTCATTTAAACAAAGCCCACGAAATGAATGAAATACGACTTTATTTCAAAAACACCAACTGTGACTGACTGAACAAAAACATTTTGAAGTATAGAATACTACTATAGTTGATTAGAAAGAAAAATGTTGCTAATATTGCTGAAATGGAAAAAAGGAGGTGATAACAATTTGCTTGGCCTTGTTCAAGCACTTTCTCACACAGTAGGAGTACATTGCTGAAAGGCTGGGCAGGAACTTTGTGCTACCATCCTGTCTAAAGTAGCGCTGCAACAGGATTACGGCATCTCCTGCAGCACTGTGAGCCACTGAAAGGAGCTCACGGATTGCACACCATATCATCACCCCTTGAGCACAGGTTCTCATCTTGAACTTCAGCGATAGGTTCCTCAAGGCTGTCCTCAAGTTCATGACGAGACATCGATTGCTGCTCGGCATGAAGGAAGGAAAAACTAAGGAGAGGCCCTATCCTATCCCAATGCATTGCAAGAAGTGTGGCAGAAGTGACTTCAAACTTATGGGGCAAACAAACCGGTATGGGGCAAACAAAACAGCAGACGCTTCGTGACGCACTCTCAGCGCTGTTTTGCTTATATAGTCTCGGCGTTAACTTAACGCGTATTGTATGGTTTGCATGCAGTAAAATGTTGCGAGCACACTTTTTCCAGACTGTTCGTGCGTTGCAGGCCCGAGCGCAGCATGGTGAAATACTTCGTGGAGTGTTTTTGTGCAACGGCACAGAAAGCACCGGTGCATGTCGGAATGAAAATCATTCAGCCCCTGCATCATCGTATTCGAACTCTCGCGGCAGTGACTTACGCGTTCTGCTCGCCGCAAGGCCTTTCTCTCTCTCTCTTAGCCATATTTCCTAATCTACGGGCCGATTAGCAGTTCTTTGGTCATATATAGTGTCAGTGTGGCAATGCACAATTTTGAGAGCTTGCTTTGGTAGCTATTCCGTGCAACGCCAGTCTAGTACTTGACGTACTTCTCGTCGGTAAGAAGGCACAGCTGTATTGTATACGTGATCGTGCACGTAAAGTGTGTATTTCCAGTGCGCACACAACACGCAGTGAGCGCACACCGTACAATGCATACACACTTAGTCCGGTAACAAGAAAAGTTTATTGTCCTTCCGTATGAACGACACAACTTCTAAAAACATGACACGATGCCTACAGCAGTAAAAACGAAAGTTCGCATGTGCTCTCAGTTGACAAAATAAGTAAGAACCAACAGAGCTGAGAACTCCGCATGCAAATACCATCAACAGTGAAGCGAACATACGTGAAAAGTGCCACCAGGTACATCCGGCGGTGCATGTGATTCGCACCGAGTATACACTACAGCATGGCATCGCACAGATTTTTAAAAAAAAAACGCAAAATAAGCAGCACTCGTGGATTGACTCGCTGCTGGCAGAAAACACCGCTTCCAAGGCCGCTGTGGCGGCTGGTCGCCGGAAATCGCGAAGTGTTTATCTGCTTCTCCGCTAGGAGGTCCGGGTGTTTGCGATGCAGTGGCTTCACAAATATGACGTCATGGCCTCTCCTATATTTTTCCTTCCTCTATGCTGCTCGGCATGCAGGACATGTGCAATCACTGGCTCGGACTAGCTTTGGTATTTGTTTCATGGTTACTAGAATGCCATGGCCACTTTGCTAGCTTTAGCTTCAATTTTGCTAGTTTTAGTTTCATTTAACTGATGTAAGCGGAAAAAAATGAAAATTTTTATCCTTAAATATATAGAAGACCAACCAAATAAGCCTAGATAGTTTCGTTTATGCGGCTTTTCCGTTTAACCGAGTTTCGTTTAATGGGAGTGCACTGTAATGGCAGAAGCTAGAGGTCTCAACTTCTTGTGACGTGTGCATAGCGACGTCTTGTTAGGCGAAACAAAGTGATGAAGTGTATGTTGTTAGTCCTCATGGCAAGACGAACCGGACAGACGCAATGCGTAGGTGAATTTAACTTTAAGTATATTCAATGCTTCAAAATAAGGAGCAGTGTGAGTAGTATACAGAATGTTAGCTATAGCACAAATTGCTCGCTTTTGGCATACACCGAGTTTTTTCAAGTAGTCAGAGGATGTGTTACCCCATACAAGGTGACAATAGTCTAATGATGATAAAAAATAATCCATTTTATAACAAACATTTAGCTTTTTGAGGTAGTATTTGACGGTTTTTGGTAATCAAAGCAGTGAAGGAATTTAACTTGTTGCAAACATAGCTTATTCCATGACAATGAAATACATGCTTATTTCATGACAATGTTTCTGCAAAAATTAAACCTAAAGCTTTAATCTCGTTTACAGTACTAATTATGTCATTATCAAGGTACAAGTTTTCTGTAGGTTCAATGACTGTGTGTTGAGTGCAGAAAAATATGGCTTGTGTCTATTTTGTGTTAATTCTCAAAACATTTCTTTTTGACCACGCTAATACTTGAGCAAGTGCATCATTGGCTCAGGATACTAAGCCATCTGGTTGTACTCCTTGTGTGGCATAATAAAGACTGATAATTATGTATAGCCCCATGAAGAACAATACCGTTTGATTTTATATGTGGGATTTAACGTCCCAAAACCACCATATGGCAATGAGAAATGCAAGAACAATACCGTCCGTCACCCCTTAATTATATTGACGTTTTTTAATGCCAGCTGCATCACCCGCTTCACCGTGGTAGCACTCAGAAAGGACATGCAAGCATCATCAGCGTCCCTGAATGCTAGCACCTCATAAGAAATGTTTGCGACAGTTTTAGTTGTAGCGAATACAGGATGAAGCAGTTGCTACAACAAGAGAGAGATGGCTTGCGTAGCACTCTTGCAAATTTCGAGAACTTTATTGAGTGCAATTACGTGTTTGATAATCGAACAACTTACTTACAAAACAAAGGTAATAAAATCGAAAGTAGTGCATAACCGTTGCAATGCACACACCACGTTTTCTGTGCGGTCATGCTTACACTAAACGTTCGCCTCGGTGCAGTTTCTGAAAGCTGTCCAAAAATGCCTATTTCTTAGCCGGCCTGAAAAGAATTTTAATAAAAAACTAAAACTCAAGATATAAAATTAGGGGGTACTACAGCAGAGAAGAATTCGACAATCAATTTATACACAGCTGGAAGTGTGGTCGGAACATGCAACTTAACCGTCACTTAGCCACTTCAGAAGCCAAACTTTAAAAGAAGCCCAGAGCTCTTGAAGCCCCTAAAGAACTTGATACACACCACCACCTCGGGGCACATGAAAAGTCCCCTAACCTAAATTGTGCTTGCAGGTTGCTGGTAGATTCACCAGTGCGCCAGTGCCTCCAGAATCTTGGCGAATTGAGGAGATACACACAAGGAACAGGACAGATGTATCGAATTGCACGTAAAGTGGACCTCCTACTTGCGAGTCTAAAACTACAAAAAAATAAAGAAAATTGCACTGAGTAGTATTGAATACTGGGCAAGTTGGTAAAGAATCATTGATTGATTGATTTGTGGGGTTTAACATCCCAAAACCACTATATGATTATGAGAGACGCCGTAGTGGAGGGCTGCAGAAACTTCGACCACCTGGGGTTCTTTAACGTGCACCCAAATCTGAGCACACGGGCCTACAACATTTCCGCCTCCATCGGAAATGCAGCCGCCGCAGCCGGGATTCGAACCTGCGACCTGCGGGTGAGCAGCCGAGTACCTTAGCCACTAGACCACCGCGGCGGGGCTTGGTAAAGAATCATTGTTCGAGGTAAACAGCGTAAGAAACGAAGACAGAGAAATAGACACAAGACGGGCGCTGACTTTCAACAGAATAGTTGAAAAAGAAGAATAAGGCCGGCAATGTTTGTGCGGCGGTGCGAAAAAGCGTCGAAAATGCCCCGTTGTCAAGGAATGCATGCTCCATTAAACACAAAAAATATGTTTGTAGAGTGTGCCGTTAGAGTTGTGTACAGCGTACTCATCCCGTGCGGATTCGTTTATGTTGGTCAGATGGGGTGGTGTGTCAACTACACACTGAGGAAGCACCAAAATTCCCTTCGGCGTGTTGCCCCATCGACACACTTGGCCATGCACTGCAGGGACTGTGGATGTACTCTAGATTTTTCAAGAACGAAAATTCTTTTCCAGCACCGTGACCAGCTAACAAGGGAAATATTTGAAGCCTACAGAATTCAAAAGGCAGGCAAAAACTGCATCAGTGAACCGTCAATCACTGATTCGATTGATATGTAGGGTTTAACGTCCCCAAACCACTATATGATGAGAGACGCCATAGTGGAGGGCTCCAGAAATTTCGACCACCTGGGGTTCTTTAACGTGCACCCAAATCTGAGAACACGGGCCTACAACATTTCCGCCTCCATCGGAAACGCAGCTGCTGCAGCCGGAATTCGATTCCACGACCTGCGGGTCAGCAGTCGAGTACCTTAGCCACTAGACCATCGCGGCGAGGCGACCATCAATCGCTCTCCTTGATAACGAAATATTATTTTAGACTATTGCCACTAACGTTGTTAGGGCAAGTTGCCTCGTGTCTACACAGCAGTTTTTTCTGGTTTGTTTGGTTTTCTCGCCATGCAAGAGCATGCGCGAATAGGTGTATACATATGTTTTTTCATTAAACTATTCATTTGAAAGTCTGCACTGTCTTGTGTCTCTATTTCTTTGTCTTCATTTGTCGCGCTGTTTACCTTGAACAATGAATAGAGAAAATGTTGTCCCCCATTCGTTTTCAACATACTGAGAACAGAATACATAACTCAGTCGAGACCTAAGCCGAAAATCGCCAAAAGATCGCCATGTTGCCAATCATGATTTTAGGTTCCCATGGGCTTCTCAAATTCACCAAAATAGCCACCAGTGGCAACCCTGATCTGTGTTGCCATTTGGCTAAGTTTTGGCCAAATAAAGAGCCCAATACCATTGAACTACTTTTAGAGCTTGGTAAGCAAAGAAAGGAATGCAATGCCCATGTCATAAAAAAATGTCCCTGCAAACGTGAATGCTCAGCGAAGCTGTATCAAACACCACACATGCTGAAGGGGAGGGGGGGTATGCTTTATTGTTATACTTTCCTAGGAGCAAAGGTTCGCAACCTGTGGAGGCGGAGGGCCAAGTTGCATGAAGATGACATGGTGGGGGCTGCACTGTCAATTGGGGAAGGGGTGGATCATTGCAGGCAAAGAGAAAAAAAAATGTGGTACTACTACAATTTCTGGGACACAAAACAATTATGTCCTCCTACAGTCAGCAACGAATTTTCCGGATTTGGTGGGGACTGCGAAATAGTTTGAAAAATTGAACAGTCCGAAAAAATGATCAAGCCATGAAAACAAAGTTTATTTGATTAGAAGAGCCTGAAAAAATCCCAAATATTGCCATGCTTTATGCTGTACTTGGGGACGAGCATATTCGGTTCTATCTGGGCTATAGTAACATCGCTGGCAAGTGCATTAGCAATCGCTGCCACTAAACATTGCGGGCGGCAAAGTTGTTGGCTCCATGGAACCAAGCAAAAAAAACTTGATACTGGTCACAAAAATATTCATGCTCCTTTTACCTGCACCGATACCGCACAGTTCGTGAGCCTCCATCATTTGGGCACTATCAAAATGCTACTGCCGCAGCCGCGATCGAACCTGCGTGTTCCAGGTCAGTAGCTGAGCACCGTGATCAACCCCAGAGTGCTAAGCAACCGTGAACAGCAGCAAGCATGTGACGCGCACGTTGACTCAAACACACTTGGAGTTAACACGACCACGCGCATAATAATGACCAGAAAAACAAACGCTCAGAAAATAAAAACAACCTTCCGGTACATTGATGATGATCATAAGGCTGATTGAAAAAGAAAAGTTATGCCGTTTTGCTAGTCAAGAAAGGTCAGACATGGCCTTTGAAATTGGAAGATTGTGCACGCTTCCAATCTTGAGGCCCAGACAATTAGCCACCGCAAGCCAAACTGCACCAAGCCAACAAAAAATCAAACATGGCGGCTTTCTAAATCGAGCACAGATCAAGCGGCATAGCTCAAAACAGATGATTTAGTCCGAAAAATCGAACTTTGGAACCTAAATTCGTCCAAAAGTCGGTTGTGAGAATACATCAGTGCAATGGGAACTTTGACGGTGCACTTGTGAAAGCCAAAATATCTACCAAGTCCGAATTTTCGGAATCCAAAAAATCCGTTGGTGACTGTATAAATCAATCAGTTCAATAGCACAACAAAAGCAGCTGAACTCCTTGGCATATATTGTGTTGATGAGCAACGTCCCACAGCGGAACTCCAATTATACGGCACATTCCGTATATTCAAAAACCGCAATAAAGCAGTTTGATCATCTGTGGAAGTTTTTTTTCGAAAAAATTAGACACTCACAGGGTTAAGTGATCTAGCTCTTAATCAACAAAGCGCCGATACAAGCACTTGTCTGCAATGCAATTATAAAGCTTGCTGGCTGACTTGCTTTGTCAAGCTTCATTTTTTTTCTCATATATTTTGGCAGTTCTAAGCAAACTTATTACCTAAAAAACAGGCTAGACCTTTACTTCAAAGCTGCAAATTAAGTGATGCTTGAAAGCAAATTTCAATATAAGTCATCGTGCCAAGTGGCAAATCTGGGTAAATGAGAAGCTCCCTCAACATCACGCGTTACCACGAGTTGTAATGCTTAATCAAGGCTCTCGACAAGGACCCTGACAAAGATAAGTCCCATAGTCGAAGCACTAATGACATTTTTTGTTTGACATGTTTCTTCAAGTCTACACCTGCTGCTGTACTTAACTCTTGTTTAGATGGAGGAGTTGAGCCTACCTTACAGATCAAAAGCCTAGACGAGCGAGCGTGAAAACACCAGAGGCAACACAAAGTGCTCATGGCATATCACACCTTACCTGAAGGCCCAAGAAGACCAAAAATATGGACGTAAGGCATCCTAGTGTACCCTCAGGGTCATACGGAAGGTGCGTGCCATATACGTGCTGCAGGCAACAGATGACATTCATGTACTAAAGCTGCCGTGATGATACTACTAGGTATGCTCAAGAAAAGCAAAAAATAAATTAAAAATGCACCTTGATTACAGTGAAACCAGTTCCACTACTGTTCATAGTCAATCTTTAAGGTTGCAGCGTTAAAAAACAAATGAACCAGGACACACTGTAAATAGGACCTGTTGTGTCTACTATGTGTCTCCATCCAAGTGTTTTTTTAGCGATGCACCCCAAAAGGTTAAAAAAAATTGTTTTCAAACAGACCCAACTGAACTTCCACAAAATGAAAAAAACAAGAAGTATGACAATCCCGCAACTCAACATTAAGTTGACCATTTGCGAAAAAGTGAGCGCCCCCTGTCGTGTAAACTGGGAAGCTTTGCTCGTGCTTTTGGTTGGAAAACATCTTCCCCAACTAACATGCTCAAAGCAGTGTTTAGCAGTTCAAGTGTGCCTGTTTTATTGCTTTAGAGCCAAAAATGCACGCTCATTTTTGAAAGACGATGGTAAAGGAGGAAAATGTTCTGTTTACGTTTGTATAAATAGTGTAAAACAAGGATCTCTCGCGTTTCAGCCTGAGCAACAACCAAATGAGGTGATAGCTGCACTCCACTTGCTCGATTGTTTACCAGGCTCGTTCCATCTACTCCTTCAAGGAAAAACATTATGTTATACGCTTGAAGTTGACCCTTGAAACGTATGACGATGAACTAGGTTCGGTGAGCGTTAATAGCGCACCGTCTGTGAGGTGCGGTGTTTGTGTGAAAGTGGTAGTGTTTGCCCTACGAGTCACATCGTTGTAATGCACTGCAACTATGTTACCAGGAGAGATATTTTATTATTTATAGGTAGAGAGTATTATAGGCATTTCTAGTACACTCTAATACAGTCAATTCTCGATAATTCGAGCTTGAAAGGGCCCGAAAACTTGTTCGAACTAAAGGAAGTTCGAATTAATGAAAGCCAAATAGACGGAGGGCTCTCCATGCAGTGGCACATGGCATTGAGCTAACACACGAGGGGGAAGTTTTAAAAGACTTACATTTATTCACAAATCACAGGACATCTGTTATTAACTGAAGTAACTGGTGATGTACATGTGCACAGGTTTGCCTTGCAGCGAATCAATCAATTTCACACGCAGCTTGCAAAGCATTTCTACTTCAGCTTCAGCATCCTCCTGGCAAGATAAGTTGCGCGCGAAAATGTCCAGCGCCAACACTTTCTAAAGACCCCAATAATAACGACTGCTGCCTAGCAGAGCCTCCTGCTCTCCGCTATGCAGCCGCAGCATGGCCAGCACGTGACGAGCAATGAGGAGCGTCTCCACGCTGAGAGAATTTCAGAAAAAACGAACACTCCACGGCAGCTTTTTTTTTTTTTTCGCTCTCTTCGCGGGCGCTGTTGAATGCTCCCACAAGGGGCAAGGGCTGCAGAAGATAGTGCCTTTTTCCCTTCCTTCAACCACACAATCATTCATCCCAGTGACGGCTTTCTTTTTTTTTTTCCTCTCTCCCTTAGCTCGTGGCGTTATAAGAAGGGTCTTTACATGGCAGGGACGAAAAATGGAAAAGTGTGACACGGGCGTGTCGCAGATCAGCATTCCACCACAGCCTTTTCTTTCGTTTTCATTTCCTTCGCCGGCATCGTTGAGGTGTCGCAGGTGCCGCGGCGGGATCGGGCAGGGTGCTGAGAGCATTTTCGGAGCGCGGTATGTTCGAATTAACCGTCGGATGTGGTTGGACGTTCAAATTACCAGGCGTTTTTGCCCATTGGAATACACATAACTTTGACGGGACCTCATTGTGAGTTCGAATTACCCGGAAGTTCGAAATAAGCGAGTTCGAAACAATGATATTCGACTGTATAAGTGCCTCTAGTTAAAATCGTCGAAGTGTCATACGGCGATGTAAATAATTATGCACTTTCCTAATTTGCTACATTCGATTTCTTCTCATAACACGAGTTTCTCCTAAAGGGACTACGGATGCAGCTGCCACTATTGTGATTATTAAATTACCTGTGCTTCCATCAATCATGGTTTGCGCAGATACGTGAGAACACATCCTGGCGTTTATCACAAATATTGAGCGGTCCATTACAAACGCTGATATACGGGAGACTCGTGTGCTGCCGTGGTACACTAAAGAGATCCGACAGTGTTAGTATAGTGGTTAGAAACCTTTCTAGCCACTATAGTGTCAGTTCGTCAAGTGCTGGTTCGGCCCCCACGGCAAGCCACGTGTGCCACACTCCTCTCTTTCAATAAAGGCTCCTCCTCCGCCAACATTTCACATGAAGTTATTCGAACATCTCTCTTTTCAGCACGTAGCCTCGCAGACAAGAGCCTGTCAAAGTTGGTGCTCATTCTCGGTTCAGTTGCGAGAAAAACCAGCGAAAACTCAAAAGAACGATGATGAAGACACAACTGAATACACACAGTCACAGGTAGTTTTTGGAGGTTTTTCTCGCATGTCAACATGAACTATCAGGCCCGGGTCTTCACGCTTCTATCTCTGTACAAAAATTTGCCAGTGTGATGGCATATTTGCCCTAACTACGAAAGCAAGGTCGCTCAACCACGGCTAATGAATGCATGACCGGCGGCCGGCTGGACTGATATTTTTCAACCAAAACCAAAACGCCCGTAGAGGGCACTACCTGTGCCGTTACTGCTCATGCACAGTAGTTTTGCCGCAAATGGTCAATTTAAGAACAAACAAATCCTTTGGCAGCTTTCTGCACAGCCCACTCGATAAACCCCCCTCTTCAGCAACATATGTCCCTTAAGTGTCAGTACGTGAACTCTTTTATTGCGTGCTTCAAAAATTTACCATGACAAAAGCGCCGACTTTTGGGCTAGTTCATGCCTCAGGTTGAAGTCGCTGAGCAATGCCATCCCTCAGTGACTCAACAAACAGAAATACTAGAAACGGTAGTACACGTTACTGTAATCAGCTCGGCATCCTGAGAAGCATACCAAAGTCCAGCCAACAAAAAATAAGTGCGCAACTTTCGCACCAATATTTCACCAGTGCATAGAAATGAATAAATATGTCAACATTTTGCACTTTCTGTAACACTTGAAGGTGGATCCTCAGTGATACCTGGTCCTGTATAATGTTATACAATGAGGGACAAGACCTTCTGCAAGACATCACGAGCCACAGAGCAAGACACAAACACCTAAGTACTCCTCCTATCTCCACTGCAGCTTCCTGTACCTCATGTAGCAGTGCACTCCCTCCTAGAACTCTAGCCTGTTGACGGTGTCAATTAACTATGGCCCTATGTGACATCATTGCTTGCACAGAGAAGGTGACAAGAGGCTCGAATTATAAAAATATTATAATATTTGGGGTTTAACATCCCAAAAACACTATATGATTACGAGAGACACCGTAAGAGAGGGCTCCAGAAATTTTTATCCCTGTAACGTGCACCTAATTCTAAGGGCTCGTTAAAGTCAAGCAAAGCCTTGAAAGGGGAAGCAACAACATAGCAGGTTAAAGCACCCCAGACACAAAATTTGGAAACTCGAAATGCTTGTGCTGTTTGATAGTTTTGCATGCAGGGCCACCTCTGACTGATTATTAGTGGCCAGCGTTGCCTAGAAGATATTTTAATTTGATTTTCATTCATTGCCAGCTGTAGCTTAGTGGCTTAGCCAAGCCAAACCTCACTGTGTTTGTTCACATGTTGTTTTGTCAGCTCAGGTCTGCCATCAGCATGCTAGCGGAATCGTGCAAGGCGGTTACGCAAGAGACTCTGCAGAACTGTTTTCGCCACACAGGCTTCACACTCGATGCCGAGACGGCCGTCTCGCCCAAAGTGGACAGTGTGTGTGACGAACTGCCATCCGCGGATGTTGCCTTCGACGATCTGCGTGCTGCCGGCATGTAGATTGCAGCCGGGATAACCTCTGCAGGTTTCGCCGACGTTGACAAAGACCTCAAGCTACGTGCGGACTCAGCCAATGACGAAATCATTCATCAAGTTATGGAGGATTCTGATGACTCTGTCACCAATAACGAAGAGCCATATCTTACACAGCCAACGAGCTCGGAGTTGACGTGAGCACTGATGACACTGTCATCGGTGTACAGTGGCAACATGACGTTGACTTAAATTGAGGCAGACATGATCGCGGGCAAGCGGAACGCCGTGCAAAAGAAAATAGGCGACTTCTTTGCGCCCAAGTGCTGACCTATCAGATAGCGCGGGCCACATCCGATTTTTTGTTTTGTGAACGGCTTTTTTCAGAGCCACCTAAATGATGCATTGGCTGATATACAATGAGAATCTTGTACACCGGCCATTACCCTCTCCGTCACCGAAAAATACAAAAAAAGGTCCGTTTTCACGTGCATTGATTTTTTCAGACTGTCCGATTTTCCGGACGTTTTTGCGGCCCCTTGAGGTTCCTGTAAATCTCACGTTCACTGTAGACAGGGTATCCCCTTGTGACGTTACAGAGGCATCAGCGTCACCGAAGCTTGAGCGCACGCAGTCTCGGGCGCTTTGTCGATATGGTACGCAGCGTAGTTTCTTATGGTATTCACGCGGGTGTTTCGAAATGATGCAAAATCATTCTGAATTAATGTCGTTAGCATTAATTATATGATGCGTTAGAGCATTTACGAAATAGTTTCGGCATTACGAAACGCAAAGCTATAAATTACCGCAAAAAGCTCGCAAACAAAACTTTTGCCGTCAGGGGTCCTTTATAATTGACCACCAAATTTCTCCGCCCAGTTTTTTTACAGCTGAACAATGGGCTCTGGTTAAACCTGCAGTGGCTGATTCTAAATGTGTGTGGATATATTGTAAACAGAATTATATGATGCAAGAAGCCACTAACGAAGTGAGTCCCTCCTCCAGCAATGCTGAGAAGTTGGTGATGACCAAAGCCCTCCTTACCAACTTTTCATTACACCTTCACAGGAATGGAACTAGGGTTAACCACCTTCATTTTAACATGGTCAATT